GGGCAGCAGGACTACCCAAATGCTGGGCAGAATTCCTCCCTGAGCAATAGTCACTCCTCCCAGCAGTCTGCTGAGCTCCTCATCTCCACGGACAGACAGCTGAAGGTGCCGGGAGATGATCCTGGTCCTCCCGTCATCACGAGCCAAATTTCCCACCAGCTCCAGGATCTTGGTGGTCAGGTGCTCGAGAACCGCCGCCAGGTTGACGGGAATTCATCCATGGCACCTTCTTTTCAACTCATTTGGGATTTGGGGCTGCAGTTGAGGTATTTGAGCTTTTGAGATGTCAATCAGCTGCTCCTGGTTATTAAAAAGCACCTTGTTGCTATGGTTACTCATCATAACAAATGTCCAAAAGTAAAAAAGTTTCAGTAAAAATTCTTCCAGCTGCACAGCATCCGATACCAGAGGAAATAATCATCCGAAAAAGTGATTCATCGGTACAGCCAGAAAAAAGAGGAATTAAAGTTTTCAAAAGCAACAACTCAGAATGAACGTAACAGAACTACTCCAACAGCGGCGCGATTCTACAATTATCTTATCTTATCTTATCTTATCTTATCTTATCTTATCTTATCTTATCTTATCGTGCAGTTTCTTCAGACCTATGTCTGAACACTGCCCTCTAGTAACAAGAAATAACAACAGAAAGAGCATCTCATGCATCAATTTCAAAATTCAGCGCAGACATTATGTTGTGTTGAAACTGTTGTTCAAGAAGACAAACCCATGTCTCATGGCTACAACTCAAGTATGGTATGCAACGTTTATTACCACGTTTCCCTGACCTGAGATTACCTGAGTTCAAGTTAACAGAGAAACAAGTCATGTTCAACAACACTTGTGCTTTTCACATCATATACGGTAATCACTGTTGATCAGTGTCTGTAGAAATGAACTACAGACTGAGTCGCCAACTTTTTTTAATCCGTACCACCTGCTTTCTGAGTCACTGCAACAACTGTGACATACAGACAGAAGAGACCTCTACACGTCTGGTATATGGACCCCCACCACCACCACCACCACCACCACCACCACCACAGTCAAATATGAAATGGATTTACAGTAACAAGAGCTCAGGGTTTAACCAACATGTGCTCGCTCGACCTGGAAAGCTCTTGTTGGATAACAACACCAGCTCAGTGAGTGGCATTTTGCCAGACAGGGCTAATATGTCTGACCAGATGTTGAGTCCCCGTGGAGCCAAAAAGAAAACCAACTAAAATGCATGTCTCGACGTAGAGTCATTCATCTTAATCCCATTGTGGACATGGATATAATGATATTTGTGTACCTTATACACCATAAGAAATTGTATAATAAATGTACAGGAAATGGCTAATTAAGGAGAGGATTCAAAAAAATAATCAAGTTCTTCAAAAAGGTTCTTGAACTCTTTTTAAGTAGTTTGTTTGTTTGTTTTACTGTGTATAAGAATAGCATTTTACACCCCCCCCCCCCCCCCCCCACACACACACACGTTTTTTTATGGTAACATTTTACTGTTTTTCAAGTCTACTGGTCATTTTTTTCATATTCTACAGAGAAAAAGCATATTAAAGCCAAAGTAAAGAATAAAAATACTGTATATTATTTGACAAATGCAAAACATGAGAACAGTTATACTGAAAATGTAAACAACACATGATACATAATAGTTTTACGTCAATAAAAGATAAATCTCTCTTGAGTTTCATCAAATGAAACATACATTTTGGGAGCTCCAATTTCTCCCTGTACAACATTTTAACATCAACTGGTGCAGAATATAATACAAACAAGCAACTTTTTATTATGTTACTTTTTCATTTTGGGGCGGGGTCTTATTAAATATCTGCAAACATTAAAATTCCATCGAATTTATTATTTGTGAATGTTAACAAAACTAAATATTTTAGCGGCACCAATACATTCTCACCTATTATTATGGTTTTCATTCCATAACAGATGGTTTTATGATTTTGGGAAACATTTTCCACAAATGTTTAAACTAACTATTGATGATGTCACAAATATGGCTTTTAAAATATGTAACTATATATATATATATATATATATATAAAGTACAAAGTACATAAACAATATTTCATATCAAAATGTAGAGATGTTTGTCTTTTCCACCAGTGGGTGTCTCGCTAACATTTAAATCTGAACAGCAAATACGCACCCAAGCCTCTACAGATTTGTTTGTATTTTATTTGAAATATCAATTCAATTTAATTCAGTTTACTTATTTAGCACCAAATCACAACATGAATTGCCTCAGGGTACGAAACAGCAACATTCACATACATAAAAAAAGCCAATTAGTAAAACGTATCTGTTTAAGGAGGAAGCCAGCATTGAATCTTCACTTCATCACAGTCTTCCAGCAAGCACAAAGGCAACAGTGGAAAGGAAAAACTCCTTAATGAGGAATAAACCTCAAGCAGAACCAGAGTCAGGATGAGCGACCATCTGCTTTGACTGGCTGGGTTTGAGAGGACAGGAAGGAGGAACAGATACACAATGGCAGGTGTAGATGCACTTTCTTTTGGAAGAAAAACAAAAAATACATAAGATAGGAATAATTATAAATACTAAAGAAGGTAAAAATATAAAACAGGTAGAGTATCCTCTTCAAAACTAAAAGTGAAGACTCTTTTAACTCGTCGTGTAAATAAAACATTGTAAGAAAATGATGGATTGCTCTCTTCGGGTCAAGGTTCTGCCTCAAGTGGAGGAGTTCAAGTATCTCGGGGTTTTATTCACGAGTGAGGGAAGAATGGGGCGTGAGATTGACAGATGGATTGGTGCAGCATCTGCAGTATTGCAGACTCTGTGCCGGTCCGTTGTGGTGAAGAGGGAGCTGAGCTGTAAGACAAAGCTCTCTGTTTGGTCAGTCTACGTTCCTCCCCTCACCTATGATCTTTTGGGTAGTGACCAAAAGAACGAGCTCGTGGATACAGGCGGTTGAAATGAGTTTCCTCTGCAGGGTAGCTGGACTCTCCCTTAGGGAGAGGGTGATAAGTTCAGTTATCAGGAGAGACTCAGAGTAGAACCACTGCTCCTCCACATTGAAAGGAGCCAGTTGAGATGCCATCCATCCATCCATCCATCCATTTTCTTTACCCGCTTATTCCATTTTGGGTCACGGGGGTCGCTGGTGCCCATGTCCAGCAATCACTGTGCGAGGGGCGGGGTGCACCCTGGACGGGTCGCAAGTCCATCACAGGGACACATAGAGACAAACGAGACAAACAAACATTCACTCTCTCACTCACACATAGGGACAATTTAGAGTTACCAATCAGCCTAACATGCATGTTTTTGGACTGTGGGAGGAAACCGGAGTACCCGGAGAAAACCCACACATGCACGGAGAGAACATGCAAACTCCACCCAGAAAGGCCCCTGGACCGGGGTTTGAACCAAGGACCTGCTCGCTGAGAGGCAGCAGCTCTACCAGTTGCACCACCGTGCTAGTTGAGATGGTTCAAGCATTTGGTAAGTAAGGATGCCCACATGGTGCCTCCTTGAGGCGCTTCGGGCATGTCTGATTGGGAGGAGACTCCAGGGAAGACCCAGGACACACTAGAGAGACTACGTCTCTCAGTTGGTCTGGGAGTTCCTTGGTGTCTTCCCAGAAGATCTGGAAGAGGTGGCTGTGGAAAGAGATGTCTGGACCTCCCTGCTCAAGCTGCTGCCCCCGAGACCTGACTTTGGAACAAGTGGAAGATAAGGATG